TGGCTCCAGAGTCCTTACTTCCTGCCACTAGAATATACTGTCTGTTCAGAAAACGGGGATGGGAATGAAAAATAACAAGTTGTTAGAAAAGAAATGTTATCGTCATACACTATGTAGCTATGCAATGAATAATTTTTACTAGCCACAATTACATAAACATTGACTGTTAATTGTATGAAAACTGATATAATCAAATTGGTAAGATGGTAGATGGAGGTGCTCAGTGGGATAAACTTTCAGCCTACACAGAACATAAAAGGTAATACACAGCTCTTTCGTGCCCAGCACAGCCATGGCTCATGGTCCCAAGAAGCATCTGAAGCACTTCGCAGCTCCCAAGCATCAGATGCTGGATAAACTGATGGGTGTGTTTGCTCCTCATCTGTCTACCAGTCCCTTTTTTTTTGTCTCCCTTTCATCATTTTTCTAAGGAACAGACAGACTGAAGTATGCCCTAACAGGGGATGAAGTAAAGAAGATGTGCATGGAGTGGTTTTTCAAGATCAATGGCAAGGTCAGGACTGACGTGACCTACTCTACTGGCTTTATGGATATCACCAGCACTAACAAGACCGGAGAGAACTTCCATCTCGTCTTGTTGTAGCCGCCAGCCCCTGAAAGATACATGGACCACCAGAAATCAGTGAATTATAGGAAACACACTCTTTATTCAGCCAGCTAGGTCTGCCAGGGGTAAGCATACCCCAAATTAAGCAGCCCTGAAAAGTAGAAGTACAAGGTTTTTAAGCCCTAAACCCCATTCCTCATTCTGTCTGAACACAAAGGTCTATTTTTCTTCTCTTCACTACCTGTCGACCCATAGGTCGGGTGTGCAAGCGGGGGTTCAGAAGCAGAAAGCATGTTGCTAGAATGTTATGTTCCCATAATTAAAAGCCTTTTGTTCCCATGGCAATAGTCAAACAGTAATTTCCTGCAAGTAATAAATTTCAGTCATTTTTCAGCCACCACAGTCTATGACAGCAAACGTCGTTTTGCTGTTCATTGGATTACACCTGAGGAGGCCAAGTACAAGTTGTGCAAAGTGAGAAAAATCTTTGTGGCCACTAAAGGAATTCCTCATCTGGTGATTCATGATGCTCACACCATCTGATACCCTGAATCCCTCATCAAAGTGAATGACATCATTCAGATTGATTTGGAGAATGGCAAAATTACGATTTCATCAAGTTTGACAACTGGGAACCTGTGTATGGTGACTGGAGGTGCTAATTTGGGAAGAATTGGTATGATCACCAACAGAGGGAGACACCCCAGTCTCATCTGGTGATTCATGATGCTCACACCATCTGATACCCTGAATCCCTCATCAAAGTGAATGACATCATTCAGATTGATTTGGAGAATGGCAAAATTATGATTTCATCAAGTTTGACAACTGGGAACCTGTGTATGGTGACTGGAGGTGCTAATTTGGGAAGAATTGGTATGATCACCAACAGAGGGAGACACCCAGTTCTTTCGATGTAGTTCATGTGAAAGATGCCAATGGCAACAGCTGTGGATTTCTCTTCCCCACGGCAAGGGTATCCACCTTACCATTGCCAAAGAGAGAGACGAAGAGACTGGCAGCCAAACAGAGCAGTGGGTGAAGTGATCTCCTAAGAAGCACAATGAAGGATATATGGAAGAAATGAGAAGCAGTACGGAAGTTGCTTTAGAATCTAGTGGGTAAGGAAGATCAATGAGACAAGATTGACCATGTACTGATAATGCGGGAACCTGGGGGATTGGTGCACGGGCTTCAGTACACTTGCCACTTCTGTCATTTCTAACATTTTAAATAATAACCTTACAAAGAAACAAACAAACAAAAAAGGTAACACACAATAAGTATAGTCAATAGATCAGGAAATAACAGTATAAGACTTTTACTTGAAAATGTGAAGGGAAAACTGCTAAAATGATAATGGTTGCCTTTGGGGAGAGAACTGCAAAGTAGGTTGTGGAGAAGGGAGATGCTATTTTTCATTTTATATTTTGTAAGGTTTTTGATATTTAAAAACTATTGTGCATATATTAATTTAATAGAAATAATGGAGAATTCAGTTACCGGGAAGCAGTGTGTGTGTGTGGGGGGGAACAATAAGGCTCTGATTATTTTTTGCCTCAGACTTCAAATTTATAGCTATTTGTTTCTAAATGAATACCTTGTTGTTTACTTGAAATTGTTTAAACTTCCACTACTAGATTGAAGTCTTTAGAGACTTTATAAGTGAATATTAGAGAAATTTCTTCTTTTATATTTAAATACAAACAGAACACATCGCTAGGTTTTTTTCAAATTTGAGAAAGTTTTTGGGAATTAATATTTTATTTACTTTTAAGCCATTCTTGAACTGGAAATTAACTTGGTAATGAAGTTTTCTAAATTCATTAAAGGTAAAAAAAAAAGTGGGTATCTATGGTGATGCTTTTTTCTTTAATAATACTATTGTTTTCAGTACCAGACGTGATGTTTTTAAACTCAACATTGAACTCTCCTTCCTAAAAAGGAAAAACCAAAAAAATCTTCAAATTCAGGAAGGAAAATAGCAAATTATAGGATGGTTATTTCTAATATGTCATATGTACATACATAATTATATTGCATAAAAGGAGCTAATTCAGTTAATTTAAGACAATTTTTGTAGGGGAAATATTTCACATGGTCTGCCAAGAGCTACAGTCTTATTAAAACAGGCCTATTACTGCTTGTCCCTGAAAAATCCACATCAAAAGAGATGGACTGTAAAACTACCTACATGTTAGGAACACCATGTATGACAACCTTCCTTGAAAAAGTCTGCAGAGTACTTAAAATAAAATTAAGCTGCCACTGTTTTATGTTATGCCTGCTGACATTACTTCTATTCTTGTTAGTCTATCACACATGCAAAGGATGCTACCAACCAGACCTTGAATAGTAACTGCACAGCCCTCGGAGCCAGAAAGGCAATAGACCTCCAGGCAAGGCCACATTCCTTCGATATCTTCTAGAAGAGAGGGGGGAATCAGCCTGCATTGATTATTTCTATGCATCTTTTACACTCACTTATTAATACTAGTCAGGGCTACTAATTTAGGTGTGCTTAAAAGGCAAGGTCTTGTACTGCATGGTTTGTAGGGCTGAGTTTATCTAATACTTGAAGAATGTATTATCAACTCCCTTTTTCAGATGATAAGACTGAGGCTCTGAGGTTGCCCAGCTGGTTCATGGTAGAGTTAAAATTTGCAACTTCCTGCTCCAGCTCAAGCTTCCACGCTGTTTTCCTCCTACATTGGGGCACAGTCCACAAACCCCCAGGTTATTAAGGTTTGTGTTCTCTCTCTAAGGCTGACATTGATATAGTTACAGAATCCTCCTACACTGGCATCAATTTGGCCAAAAGAGCACAAGATTCAGGGTCAGGAGGCCTGGATGGTACTACCAGCTTTGCTTATAGCCCAGTGGTCCTTGTTGAGGGTTCTCTGCCTTTCTGAACCCATTTCCCTTAAAGGCCAGGAGGCCTCAGAATCTCAGTCGACTCAAACATGTAGATTTCATTCCCTCCCTTCCCCGGTAAACTGCCTGGCTCTTCCCACTGGGGGCCGGAAACTCTAGGATCCCAACTAGTCTCCCCAGGGGAGAAGTGGGGCGCAAGTGACAGCTGCAGCCAACAATGCAGCTCACTAAAGTCCTGGTGAAATCCTTGGCTTCTGATGAATCACTGGTCACCACTGCAGCCAAGCAGGTTGCTATAGTAGTCCGATACTGTTTAGGCTGTTTTTTTTTTAAAAAAATCATTTTATTATTATTTTATTATTTTAAAGAAGTTTTAGAGCTCTCTTCATTGCTCTCCATGGCTCTGAGTAGGGCCTACTCTATCTGTAATCGCTGGCATCTGAAGATTCTAGATCTTGTGCAGTTCATAGCAGGAGGAATGGTCCCGCGTGACTTTTCTCTTAATCTCCATGTCCTATCCTGCCTAAGCAGCCACCCGCTGTCAAAGGCTCTGTCTGGAAGCCACTTAAGTTCAAGCCTTGCGACGTGAGCAAGGAGATCAAACAACGCGGGTTCCAGTCCCAGTTTTGCGCCTTCAGCTTTGCTGTGAAGCTTTGGGCTTCGGCTGCCTCATTTCTAAAATGGATACTTACACTAATGTTGATTTTAAAGAGTAAAAGGCCTTAGCGCAAAGTTCGCACTAACAGAAATTCCTGTTCTTGGGGAGGTGGCTGCGAGGAGAGCGTATTTGGGTAGGGAAAAAAAACTAGGAGTACCCTCTCTGCTTTCTGAATGCAACAAGCAATTATCGGGGACCCTTTTTTTTTTTAGTGAGGTCGGATGAGAGGAAGCAGGGATGCAAACTGAGTCCCTGGGCCAGTGTGTGCTCTCAAAAGGGTAGGGGCGGAGAGGCTGGAAATTCAAAATCGAAGGAAATGCAGAAAGGGCTCTCACAGGATCCCCTAAAGTGCCGTGGGATTCAAGGCAGAACAGCCTAGTCGCAAGGGATCCGAGGAAACTTGGGCAAAGGGGACTTTCCTAAAAGTTGAGAAGTTTTATTGGTAGATGAGGGCGGTAAAGGGACTTCAGGAACATAGGTCTCGTGAGTATCCCAGTTGGCGTGAGGCGGCGCGCAGACCAGCGCCCAGCGGTCCCCAATGCGCGGGTTCAGTGCAGGACACTCGGGAATCGCTCCATCAAAGGCTCCAAGCTTTATTGGAGTCGGCAACCAGCATTTTCGCTGGAGCCAGGGGATGGAGGGGCGCACATCCAGACCCGCCCGTGGGCTGGCGGACTTCGGAGCTCCACGCCGCACCGGGAAGCGATCGCCGCCTCCAGGAGCCTGACGCCAGCGG